CCAGTTTCAGTTCACACTCGAATCAAGAACGATTGGTGTGGATAAGACCAATCTAGAGCCAATCTAGAGCTCAAGTAAAGTAAGATAATCACACCAATAGATCAATTAGAGTCTATTAGAGTCTATTAAGTGAGTGCCGGCGGTTCGAGTCCCAGCGGGGGCACAAGTTTTTTGATTTCTCCTAGTTCCAACGTCGTTAATACTCCAAAAATTTCGTTAATACTTTATTCTAAAAGCAAGCAAGCAAAGCAAGCAAGCAAAGCAAGCAAAGCAAGCAAAGCAAGCAAAGCAAGCAAAGCAAGCAAAGCAAGCAAAGCAAGCAAAGCAAGCAAGCAAGCAAAGCAAAGCAAGCAAGCAAAGCAAGCAAGCAAGCAAAGCAAGCAAGCAAGCAAAGCAAGCAAGCAAGCAAGCAAGCAAAGCAAGCAAGCAAGCAAGCAAGCAAGCAAGCAAAGCAAGCAGGCAAGCAAGCAAGCAAGCAAAGCAAGCAAGCAAGCAAAGCAAGTTTTAAAGTTTAGTAGTGCCCACCAATTGATTTAGTAGTGGAAAATCGAAGAAGATTCTCATGATTTTGTTTCTGAGTCTCCAATCCTCCAAGTTTCTCCTCCAATCATCAAGAAGACAAGAGGATTCCTCCAATCCTCCAATTTTCTTGATGATTTAGTATTCTGAAATGAAAATCTCCATGTTCTTGTACGGCTTATGGCGGGGGAAAGCATCAAGCAACAGCAGCATCTTCCTGAACGAATTCCTCTCAGTCCTTGCCCACCAAATGCACCACTTTCAAGCAGAAATCTCGCTCAAATCTCTCTCAAATTTCAATCCCCTTTCTGACAGTGATTCTTCCTCTTCAAAATCATTTTAATCTTTAGAAATTGTATAAATTATGAAAGGAAAATCCTTTCCAAAAGATTCCTCAACTTTTCTCGAAAAAACAAAAAACATCAGCTCACGACGGGACTCGAACCCGCAATCGTCTGATTAGAAGTCAGACGCCTTATCCATTAGGCCACGCGAGCTATGGATGACGCAAGCGAGAGAGGCATTATGTCGTAAATGTGCATTGTTTTCCGAGTCATGAATTGATTGATTTTGAACTTTTTTCACTCAAAAAATGAGAATTCATATTTTATATTTAAATTTCTTTATTAATTAAATGCAAATTTCGTAAAAAAAAGTCAATTAGAAGTTTAAATGAAAAAATTTTCGTTTTTTTGTGTAATTTCGTGGAGATTCTGTTTTATAACCATTTTATTCAATCATTTATACGTAAATAGCACTGTATAATAGAAATATGAAAAAAAGTATCACATTTGACTCGGAATTTGATGTGTTTTTGTGGGAAAGTAATGAAGAAAGTGGAAGAAAGTGTTAGGAAGTGTTAGGAAGAGTTAGGAAGAGTTAGGAAGAGTTAGGAAGAGTTAGGAAGAGTTAGGAAGAGTTAGGAAGTGTTAGGAAGTGTTAGAAATTGCTAGAAATTGCTAGAAATTGCTTGAAATTGCTAGAACTTGCTAGAACTTGCTTGAAATGCTCAAAATTTGTGTAAACAAGGCTTAGAGTAGGTTTTCGAATTCAAATTTCTCAATGTAAGGCTTTGTTTTTGCGTTAACTTTATCAAAAAAGCCGGTTTAGCTAAAGAAAACCGATAAAAAGGTCGATTTTATCTCGATTTTGGTCTATTTTTGGTGTAGAAATATAGAATCCGAAAAATAAAAATGCTAAAACGAATCATTTTCTAGATAAATAAAAGAAAAAGAAATGATTTTTCAAAAAAAAAAATTTACAAAAAATTACAAAAAAATTAAAAAATCATAATAAATAAGTATTTTTTGATAATTTTATAGCTTTTTCTTGGCTTATTTTGGCTTTTTTGGCTTTTTCTTGGCTTTTCTTGGCTTATTTTGTCTTCTTTTTCGCTTCTTTTTTCTGCGATTTAAGCTTTTCTTTCTCTTCCTTCAGCTTGATGTTATTGTAGAGTTTGTAGGAGCAGAAAGCTGAAATATATTGATGATTAATTGAATATCTATTGAATATCTGATGTTGTTGATACTTATATTGATTTTTCTAACATCTAAACTAGAGCTTATAGGTAGAGAGATCAATTAAACATTAGTTTTCATTCAAATTCAAACTCAAATTCAAACTTTCAAAATCCTCCGTTGTAAACAGATTAGCCCTTTGTTTATAGACTTTTTCAAATTTAAACCGCGGTCAGGGCCCAGAAGTGGCTCATTCCTTTTGCAAATTCCCTTTGCTTCCAATGCCTCTTTATCAAATTCATTTCCCGTTAGAGCCGCTAGATTATGGAACTTGCTCCCAAACGACATACGAGAAATTCAGTCGCTTTTCATATTCAAGAAACGTATCGATGCTTTAGATCTAGTGGCTCTTTGCCGTAAGTAATTGGCTTATTGATTTCAGTATGTATTGTATGATTAAGTATCACTGTGCATTTCTCTATGATTTCTTTCACTTTATCGTTTGAATAAAGTATTATTATTAAATAAAGCTAATTTTCATTCGAATAGAGCTAATTTTGACTAAATTTTGTGATTTCTCATTGATTTTCATGATTCGATTTTCATTGATTTTCATTGATTTCATTGATTTTCATTTGATATTGATTAAATAATATCAAATTTAAGCTAATTTAAGCTAATTTAAGCGAATTGCATTGAAAATGCATCTATTTAGGCAAAATAACGTAATCAGCTGTCAGTTTAACATTTAACTGACAGCTGATTACGCTATTTTTGCCTAAATAGATGCATTTTGCTCTAAATAGATGCATTTTGCTCTAAATAGATACATTTTCGAAAGAAAATCAATGCATTTTCTTCACAAAACTCACAAACAAGCGCCACAATGAGAATTGCCGGAATGATGAACACCGAATTATCGTAGGATTGGCCTGAAAATGCTTGTATAAGATAAAAAGATAAAAGATACTTAAAACTTGATAAATAGAGTGAATTTAGTGAATAATCCTATAAAAATAACTGATCTACGATAAATAACTGATCTAAAATCATCTAAAATCATCTAAAATCATCTAAAATCATCTAAAATCATCTAAAATCATCTAAAAACTGATCTACAACAAATAACACATCCAGCTGACCTTAAAACAAAACATTTCAACTCACCAAAAGGCGACTTTGAGCCCAATTCGACCATTTTCTAGGAGCTGAGGTAGAGAAAGCTGTGGGTTAAACGACTAAAAAAAAAGATTGATTGTACGAAAATTTATGATTACAAAGATTTTCTACGTAAAAGTAGCAGTTTGGTGCTAAATGATGGCAAAAATGAGCGCGATAAGCCAAACGATAGCAGGCCAACGCGGACTGTTCTCGCTGCTCGATTGTGCATCCAATTGCCCCGCCCAATGCACAAGAGCTACCATAATCCCGAATGCAGTTGGGAAGCATCACACAAACAATCAGCACATCTGGAAAGTGTTAAAGAGAAATTGGAAAGTATCTAAAAGAATTTAAAAGTGCCTAACGCATTTTAAAAGTGCCTAAAATATCTAAAAGTATCTCAAAAATCATCTAAAACATCAAAACATCCCTAAGCATCTAAAGGTCCAAAGGCCAAAGGTCATCTAAAGTCTTAGAGTCATCTAAAAGTATCTAAAATCATCTAAAAACATCTAGAGTCATCTAAAGGTCATCTAAAGGTCATCTAAAATCATCTAGAGTCATCTAAAGGTCATCTAAAGCTCATCTAAAGGTCATCGAAAGGTCATCTAAAGTCATCTAGAGTCATCTAAAATCATCTAAAGTCATCTAGAGTCATCTAAAATCATCTAAAAACATCTAGAGTCATCTAAAGGTCATCTAAAGGTCATCTAAAGTCATCTAAAGGTCATCTAAAATCATCTAGAGTCATCTAAAGTCATCTAAAGTCATTTAAAACCATCTAGAGTCATCTAAAGTCTTCTAAAGTCATCTAAAATCATCTAAATTCATCTAGAGTCATCTAAAAGTATCTAAAATCATCTAAAAACATCTAGAGTCATCTAAAGGTCATCTAAAATCATCTAGAGGATCTAAAACCATCTAAAACCATCTAATACCATCTAAAATCCTCTAAAATCATCTAAAGTTCTCTAAATTTTGTACTATATCTATCCAAGAAAACCAACTATCGTAATCGCTGTAATAGAAGCAAAAGAAGAAATAGAAGAACCGGCTCCTTGTATTACGATAGATAGATTTATCTATCTACCCCGGAATTTCGAAAACCCTTGATAATTGACCTAAAATCTATTTAAAAATCAAAAAACTTCTGTTGTCAAAACCTTGGTAAAACTAGGACTCAAGCCAAAAACTTTCACGGTCATTTCTGCATTTCTGCATTTCAAAATTTGAAACCAATTTATCGTGTAAAGTCTTTTGAGAAGCAGGAGCGAATATCGAGAAATAAGATAATCACAAAATGGCAAAAACGACTGCATAATAAACCCGCTTTCATTTTCGATTAATATCTTAACAAATTGAGTGTGAATTTGGAATATTTCCTTCAAATAAGTCCCACAATTAATCCGTTAAGATATTTGTGCCTGAAGAAAGAAAAAAAAAGAAATGAAATTATAAATGATACTTAGCCTTAAAGCAAGCCATTTTTTTTTTTTGAAGACACTTCTAAAAGCACCAAAAAACAGGAGTTGCTATTGTTGCTGGAGTTGCTATTGTTTTGCGACTAATAATCATTTAGTTCTAGTTCTAGTTCTTGGTTTGTTTGTTTTTTTTGTTTCTCATCTATGCCCAAGTAGAGGTAATAAAAACACGTACTCGGAATAAGGCCTATGAGAAAATGAAAAGAAAATGAAGAAAAGGAAATGAAGAAAAATGAAATGATGAAAACGAGTACGCAATTTGAAAGCCAATGATCACATAGTGTACAAATATTACGCATTAAAATGTGATTTCTAAAAATAATGTTGGACTACCGGGAGAAAGTTGATAGCTCAGCTCAGCCTAGTTGATGAAGAGTGATCAAATTTTGCGGAATTTCTTGAGAACGTGTGAAGATGGCGATGATGGGGATCGAGTCCGCTTGCGTCGAGCGACTTGTGACGTCAAAAATGCACTCAATTCAGCTGATGGAGTTCCTGCTGGGCCTCGACCAGGTGATCCGATTCCACCAGAAGGAGTGAGAGCCTGAAAACAGAACTGATAACTGGAAATAGAACTGATAACTGGAAACAGAACTTGTTAGGTTAAAAAAATATATGTCGTAGCCGATTATGAATTTCAGCCGATTATGAATGAGTGGGAGCGTCCAAATATCAAGTCCAACCATCAACCAGCAAGTCTAGGAGCGTCCAACCATCAAGTATTTAGTCTCATTCAACGCAGAATCATTAATAATGATGTTAACTTTTTAAAATTAGAAAGATTGGATAAAAAGAAAAAAAATTATGGGGCTTCAAAGTTTTCTCTTGAATAAACAGTTTTTTGCTCTAATTTTTTTTTCTTTTTATCAAATCTTGCTAATTTTAAAAATTTAACATAATTATCAATGATTCTGCGTTGAATGATACTAAATACTTGATGATTGGACGCTCCTAGACCCACTCATTCATAATCGGCTACGGGGGTGCCGACGATTTTGAATGAAACGTTGTAGCGCCGGCAATTTTTAACCTAAACTCACAAATTTGGTACCAATCGACGCAGAATTTAATTCACTACAAAATGATATAATTTACATTAAAGGGTTGCTCTACTAGAAAGATTTGCCAAAAAAATTTCATTCATAATCGGCTACGGCATATAATAAACTTTTATGCAGATTGATTACTAATTCTTGACTAACACTTGTAGGTTTTAATTTTAGAAATGAAAGAAAAGAAATAACTAATGTATAATGTAATACTAATGTAATAAACTACGATTTTTGTAAATGTTTAATGATTTTCAATGTCAATGTTTAATGATTTTCTAAAAATAGTTTTTACGAGATTTGGAAAAGCTCTGATTTTAGAGGTTTGGTTTTAGAGGTGGAAAGAAGTTGAGGGAACGGAAACGCCCGATAAAGCAGTTGAACGCTCGATAAAGGAAGTGATTTGAGCACTTTCTTTCACAGAAACCTATTTTGGTGTTAATAGAAAAAAAGATAGAGCATAAAAAGTTAGGCATTCTCGTCAAAAATATTTGACAAAATTTTATTCTCAGCCAAATTCTCAACTCGATTTGTCTAATTGCTTTAATTATATGTCTATTTGAAGAATTTTTTCACAAAAACACGAACATCTGCGCAAATTCGTTTCAAAACGTTTTCTAAATTTCTCTCAAAAGATCGCAAATTAAGTTAAAAGCAACTTTTATTTATATGAGGAAAATTATTGGTGCTTATTCGAATTTTATTGGTGCTTATTTATAAAACAAAAACTATTGGGTTGTCCAGTTATGAGTGCGCGTTTTTTACTATTTTGTAAATTTCTCAAGATAGATCTCAAGATAGATCTCAAGATAAATATCCCAAAGATTTCTCACAGATTTATATGAGTGTTAAATAATATCATTCGAAAGCTGAAGATCTCCTCTACATTTTGATACAAAAAGTTTTTGAATTTGTCCAGCTTTTGGGCACAATTGACTGCACAGAAGAAGAGGTGGCCAAAAAATGGAAGGGTGTCTTTGGATCAAGTTTTGGCTTCGCTCAAATTGAGTTAACCGTTTGATGTTTGGCCAATAGATATATCAATACAAGTTTTTTTTAAATATAACAATTTCAGAGCATCTTTACTTTTCTTTTCTTTTCTGGGCGGTTATTTTACACCATAAAACTTGAGGAATAGCTAAGCTGGAATGGGTTTTTTTTTCGAAAAACGACTTCTCCCTTTGTGCAGTCAATTTGCCCAAAAGCTGAACAAATTCCAAAGTTTTTATATCAAAATGTAGAGGAGATCTTCAGCTTTCGAATGATATATAACACTCATATAAATCTGTGAGAAAGCTTTGAGAAATTTATCTTGAGATCTATCTTGATATCTATCTTGAGAAATTTACAAAATAGTAAAAACGCGCATTCATAACTGGACAACCCAATAAATAGGATTTATCAAGAATTAGTACTCAATCTAAAATAAAATTCATTAACCAAACCATAAAGTTCATTAACTAAGCCATAAAGTTCATTAACTAAACCATAAAAAAAAAATCTACCTGATGAAAAAGTTGTACAGCGGCCGCCCCTTCACTACTAATTCCCGTCGTTTTCTCAGCGCTTGATCTAAGAATAAAATATTTGACAAAGATTTATTTGATCGAACCTTCGCACATCTTCAACAGAACCGTTTTGAAGTAATTCAATTAATCGGTTGAAGTCAAGCTTCCCTCCATACGCGTTCACCAATTCCTAAACAATTTCCAATGCAGATTCTGGAGCTTTACGGTTAAATTTTCAATTTTTCATTTTCCAAGGAGCCAATTTTTCATTTTCCAATCAAAGGCCAACTTCCAGCTCATTTTTAAGCATCTTAAACTTGTCAAGTTAGAAAGTTTTAATAAGATTTAGATAGCTTAGAATGTCAGCTTTCAGAAATTATTTGTTTTTATCAAAAGTTGTTAATAAAAAATTACTTAAAATCGGGCTGCAAGTTGACCAAAAATTTGGCCCCTGTTGTTAACCGTAAAGGTCCCAGAGATTCCAATGCAGTTCCATTTTTAAATCCAAAAATCTATTCATATAATTCATATTCATAAAATTACCTTAACAGCGGCTCGTCTTCCCGCTTCAAATCCCTTATCGAATGCTTTTCGATGAATCTCGATACCATTTTTGTATAATTGAGTAGTTGCCGCGGCTGCCACTTGGACCACTTTCCATGTAGGTTCACTAAAAATCAAAAATTTATCGGCTACGATATATAAATTATGAAAGCAAAATCCTTCCCAAAAGATTCCTCAACTTTTTCCTGAAAAAACAAAAATATCAGCTCACGACGGGACTCGAACCCGCAATCGTCTGATTAGAAGTCAGACGCCTTATCCATTAGGCCACGCGAGCTATGGATGAGGGAGGCGAGAAAGGGTATACGATTTTAAGAAGACAAATACGGGAGGGTTTTACAACGTAAAATGGGTTTAATTCTATTCAAAACTTTCAAATTTTAACAAAACAAATTTCGCTATGGGAGAAAGTTGACATGTAAAAATCGATAGTGTTGAAGAAGAAGACAAGTATGGGAGGGTTTTACAAGGTAAAATTCTATTGAAACTTTGTTGCCGTACTATGTAAATATCAATGATTTAAGCATTAAAGAAATAGATTTTACCAAAAGAAAAGAAAGGGTTTAAGGCTTTAAGCCAACGGGAAAAACTGACTTCCTTTAGTTCCTTCAGTCAATTTACCTCTCTTTTACTCCACTATATTAATCCACTTTGTTGCTGTACTATGTACCGTATTTTTTCGAATAGAAGACCGGGTAAAGAGTATCATCGCGTACTCCTGCGTAGCAGCCCTTTTTAAAATTTCTTTTCTGCATGAAAGCTTTCAATGAAGCGCTATAGGGCTGGAAAATGGCTCAAAAATGCCACTAACAGATTTTTGAGCCATTTTCCAGCCCTATAGCACTTCATTGAAAGCTAAAAAGGGCTGCTACGCAGGAGTACGCGATGATACTCTTTACCCGGTCTTCTATTCGAAGAAATACGGTAAATACCAATGATTTAAGCATTAAATAAATGGATTTTATGAAAGAAATGAACATTTTACCAAAGAAATAGACACTTTACTAAAGAAATGCACACTTTCAAACAGAAATTTCGCTCAATTTTTAAATAAACTCTTCTCTTACATTCTGTTTTAAGCTAAAAAGCTATTTAAGACTTAAAATTGCACAAATTATCAAACAAAATCCTCTCCAATAGATTTTTCTTGAAAAAACAAAAATATCAGCTCACGACGGGACTCGAACCCGCAATCGTCTGATTAGAAGTCAGACGCCTTATCCATTAGGCCACGCGAGCTATGGATGAGGGAGGCGAGAAAGGGTATATGGGTTTAAGCCAACGGCAAAACTGCCTTAGTTTCTTTAGTCAATTTACCTCTCTTTTTACTCAACTATATGCAAATATTTGATTTTAAAATCTTCCGCAAAGTTTAATAGTTCAAAAATCAAACTTAGCACAAAAGGAAATCGATTTTGAAAGGTTATATGTGAAGCACGTTTGGTTATATGCAAAATACAGAGCAAGGCAAACACTTACCGATATAAGCGAGCAACCGACGTGGCGCACGTCTCAAAATCAGCCCATAAACGATCGGCATCGCAATCCTCTTCACCACAACCACAACGTTGCATCGTCGAGAAAGTTATCTAGAAATAATACGTGTAAAAGGATATTGAAAGCGAATAAAGAAAGAGAACAAAGAAAGCGAATAAAGAAAGCGAATAAAAACGAATAAAGAAAGCGAATAAAAGAAAGAGAACAAAGAAAGCGAATAAAGAAAGAAGAAAAGAAAGAATAAAAGGTTGGGGCAGCTAACTAGACGAGAAGAAGAAGGTAGACAAGTCAAACTTTTAATTTTACAGATAGAATAGCGGTCAAAGGTTATTCAAATTCGAAAATAGGATTAAATATTCGTCTAGAAGCAGGAATCAGGTTTAAACTTGAAATCTATCACAAAAATCTTTTGCATTTTAGTCTTTTGCGAAACTTTGCGAAAGGATGAAGAGATAAATTTCTGTAAGAGGGGCGGCTCATTTGTTGGGGAGGGGTGGTCCCTCACGCGGTTGGCGCTTACGCTAGAAGCGTTCTCGCGGCTCGTCTCGTACACGAAACGCCCGACAACGGGGCTATGGTGAGAGTGCGCGGTTGATTCTCCAAAAAATCGGCCATGTCTGTGTCTCTCTTTCGGAGGGTGCATGTCTGACCCTCATTGTACACAGTGAAAATACATTGCTGGATCTTGTTTTTATTCTTTTTATTCTTTTTATTCTTTTTATTGTTTCTCTTGACTTTTTGTTACGAAATAGGCTTTTCGTTACTTATAACTTTACTGCAAGATCCTTTTTTCTGTTTGTATTATGCGAGATACTTTGCAATATACTTTACAAGGTACTTTGCAATATACTTTGCGAGATACTTTGCAATATACTTTACAATATACTTTACAATATACTTTGCAATATACTTTGCAAGGTACTTTTTAATAGGAAAATCTATTGCTTTTTTTTATTGCTTGTAAGATTTTTATCGTTTCTTAGGGCATCAAAGAAAAAAGTGTAATTAGTAAAGAGAAACTTGTAAGCAACTAGTAATTCATGCTTCATGCCGTGCTCAAATGCTCGTACCGTGCTCAAATGCTCGTACCGTGCTCAAATGCTCGTACCGTGCTCAAATGCTCGTACCGTGCTCAAATGCTCGTACCGTGCTCAAATGCTCGTACCGTGCTCAAATGCTCGTACCGTGCTCAAATGCTCGTACCGTGCTCAAATGCTCGTACCGTGCTCAAATGCTCGTACCGTGCTCAAATGCTCGTACCGTGCTCAAATGCTCGTACCGTGCTCAAATGCTCGTACCGTGCTCAAATGCTCGTACCGTGCTCAAATGCTCGTACCGTGCTCAAATGCTCGTACCGTGCTTAAATGCTCGTACCGTGCTTAAATGCTCGTACCGTGCTCGTGCAGCAAACTCATACTCAGTTACCTCAATTTTTCTAAAAAGTTACTAAGATGTCATTTTACACGCAATTTTTTCTAGATATTTGTAAAATACATATATTTGTATTGTAAATATTGTAGAATACGTGTAATTTTTTCTAAGCTAGCTTTTTTCTACGCTCCACTTTTTTGGTTTACTTGCTGATTTGTGCGCGTGCTATGTTTAAGCGTTAGATAGATTTACGCGATTCTGGGATAACTTTTAAAAGCTTTTGAGAGGTTTTTTTAAATCTTTTTTTTGGTTTATTTTTATTAGTTATACATTTAGTAATTGTTTGAATATCATGTTAATTAAATCTTTTAGTTTAATTTTTTTGACTTACGCTGCGCTGCGCATGCGCTTCTAATTTTTCCCTCCACCTCTGGGGTGCGCTTTTAATTTTCCTCTTAAAAATTTTAGACAACCCAATCTGGAAGTCTTCTAGATAAGTATGAAATCGAAAAACAACTGATAAAAAGACAAAGAATAGGTCGTTCAACGAGTTTTGTGTTCAAATTTAAGTTTAGAGATTATAGTAAGTACGTATAAGATAAATTTTGTTAGCAAAAAGGCTTAAAAAGTCGCAAAACGTTGTCGCAAAATGTAAAAAGTGCAAAACGTAAAAAGTGCAAAACGCAAAACGCAATATTAGCTCCGCAAAACGTCTAAGGGTAGAAAAGTTGAACGAAATGAGTAGTAGAGTTGTTAGAGCGCTTCTATTGTAGTATTTACAGTAGGTTTTAATGGGCAGTAATTTCAATATGCGCAATTTTTTAGAAAAAGTGAAAGGTAGCTGAGTATGAAGGCATGAATTTTACTAGTTGCCGAAAAAAAAACCTTAAAAATACCTCGCCATAGCGTGCAAATTATTAAAATGAGCAAAATGAGCTAGTTGTGATCAATCAAAAGATTCGTATGCAAATTACGAGACTTTAATTCTTTGAAACTTTGGGAGTGGGACAAATGCTACCTTTTTTTGCGCACCTCATTTCGCGTTAAAAAAAGCTCTAAATTTCTAAGCGCTAAATTTCTAAGCTTTAAAAAGCTAATATTAACCTATTTCTATTCTAAAATTCGTTTTTCTGGGTAATTTAGGGCGTAGAATCTAAATTTTGACATAACAGAGCGTGTGGAACCAATAACAGAGCAATTTGAAAGACAAAACGGGTAGGTTACAGAAAATTGTCGATGTCAATGTCGATTGAAATTGTCGATTCTCTGTATAACTCCTTTCATTTGCTTCCACAAGCTCTGTTATGTCAAAATTTGGATTCTATGCCCTAAAATTACTCAGAAAAACAACTTTTGGAATAGAAATTGGTTAATATTAGCTTTTTAAAGCTTAGAAATTTAGAGCTTAGAAATGTAGAGCTTAGAAATGTAGGGCTTAGAAATGTAGGGCTTAGAAATTTAGAGCTCAGAAATGTAGGGCTTAGAAATGTAGGGCTAAGAAATTTAGCGCTTAGCAATTTAGAGCTTAGAAATTTAGAGCTTAGAAATTTAGAGCTTAGAAATTTAGAGCTTAGAAATGTAGGGCTTTTTTAAAACGCGAAAAAAGGTGCGCTAATGGGTCGGGTTCGCAAAAAAAGTCGCATTTCTCCCAATCTCGAAACTTTAATAACTACTAAATATCCTTTTATCAGTCTTATTTAAGCGGCTTTGCTAAAAGATTTTTCTCATTCACAATTTTTAAGTTTTAGGTCATTTTCCACTCGCCTCTTTTTACACAAATACGCCCGAACAATTTTTTTTCCTCGTTTTTGTTGTCCCGGATTGTTTTTTTCTTCTTTCCGTTGTTTGAGACGCCCTTGATTCCATTAAAAATTCTCGCAAAATCTCACTGATTCAAAAAATTTTCCCAAATTTCATCACTATTTTTGAGTTTTGTCATCTTTAACAAACCAATTAGGCTTCATTTTCAGCCACCGATTAGGCTTCATTTTCTGCAAAATCTAAAAATCTCATTTTTATACCTACTCGTTCTCTTGTTCAATGTTATTGAAAGTTTAAAATTGTTTTTTTTTCAGAAGCCATGGAGAACGATATTCAACTGGATTACGAGGAGGAAATTGATGGAGCCGATTTGGTGGAAAGGGATTCAACGGAGGCTTCATCATCGCGAGCTTTCACAGAGGATTTTGAGAAGGAGAAAAACAAGTCAACGAATCTAACTGGCGATATTCCAACTCACAATGATGTTTCTGCTGACGAGATGGTTTCTCTGTATGAGGAAATGCAAGCGCGTGGTGGTGATTTCATTCTTCGAGCTGTTCTCGTTCGTGGTGTCGACGGTATGACTGCGTTTGATGTTGAGAAGATCTTTGCCGAGTTCAAGCCCTATCGAGTGGAGATTCTGAAGGACATGTCGGCTCTCGTTTACTTCACGAATCGACCTGCTGCCGCGTTGATGATGCTTCGAATGTGCAAGAGGCTGCGACGAGTTCGTGGTGCGAAACGGGTTGAAGAGGAGGGTGAAGTGCTGGAATCGTCAGAAGAAGAGGAGGAAGAGGGCGTTTTGAAAGAGGAGAATGGAGATGATGTTGAGATCATCGCTAAAGGCCCAGACCACAAGCCGAAGCAAAGGAGCGCACAGAATGTAAAGATTGATGTGGACGTGGTTCAAATTCCAGTGGGTCGATGGCGAGTAGTTACTGAGCACGTTGCCGATCGCCGTCTGCTGATTATTCGTTTTGCAAAACGAGATGAAATCAAAAGTTCAAAGGAAAATCGAATAGATGTTGGCAGCGATCGCAAGAGGAAAATTGACGACAATAATGGGGATCCCGACTCCGGTTGGTTAGGTGAAACAACTGTCCGACCTGGTCTAAACGTTTTTGATGAACGAGGAAAAGAGTTGGAATGGGACTACGAACATGACACTCGTTTCTTCGAAGGCCCAGAAGGTCCAGTTAATTCTGCTGAAGATCCCGAAATAAAGAAATGGGGTGCAGACGACGCAGCTCCTCCGAAGAAAATCCGTGGTCGCGGTGCTGCGCGTGCTCATCTGCTTTTCTTGGACAAAAATGCTGACACAATGCGAGCTGACACTGAATCAAAAACGGCAAAGAAGGGCAGAGAACTAAATGCCGGTTCGGAGTCGCGCTTATCTGGAGATGTACCACTGGACAAAGGTCACAAAAGCACTCGGTGGATTCGCGGCCAAAAAATCACATTTGATACTGAAAATGAATAATTTATTTTCGGAATCCTATTTTATGCTTGTTTATGCCTTTTGATAGGCTTTGTGCCATGACGCACATTTTAATTGTTCTTTTGTTTTTGAATCATTCCTTTGTAATAAGTTGTGTTTTCTGTCTGTTCAAGTTAAAATGTTTTGTTTTAAGGTACGGCTAACTGGACGGGTAAATAGTGTGATCTTCTTCTCTTTTCAAGATGATACGTGGCTATCATCCAGTTGTACAGGTGGATTTATGCTAACTAAAGAACTAACAAAGTAGATTTAGGCCTTACTAGCATCGCTCTTCACATGGGGAGTCACAGCGCTTGGAGCCGGCGTCGTTTTTATCAGCAAAACAAAATCTACAAAGTTGTTAGGTGGAGGCTTTTTATGAGAACTGTTATATTTTCTTTTTTAGATAGCTCGCTCGGATTTGCTGCAGGTGTAATGATTGCGGCTTCTTTTTGGTCACTCCTTGCACCGGCAATAAGTATCGCTGAGGAAACCGCGGGTTTTAATGACTGCCAAATAAAAAGCTCAATTCTCTAGGTGCTTTCGCCTTTCTACCGGTTGCTGTCGGGTTTATCCTCGGAGCTGTCTTTGTCCATTTTGCTGATCGAATGCTTCCAACGTGAGTTTATTAAATAAAAGATTGTGAATGTTACTGTGAATTGTGAATGTTAAGAATAAAACAATGATTTTTAGGTGTCTGGTTGCAGAAGAAGCTATCATGGAGACAATTCACATGCATCAAACAGAGACACAAATGTCTCTCGTGAGTAAGGGAGATAAAGACGTCGACAGCAACGGGTACGCTCCAGCAGAACGGTCGCTAAGGCGATCCGCGCGTAATGGGGAATTAAGGCAGAGGTGGGCAGCGCCACGTTCACGAAAATACTGGATTTTATTAAAAAAATATACTTAATCATCATTTGGATTCATTTTTACGTATAAAATCAAGTATGTGAACGAGGAATTTCGGACTTTAATTGTTACGCCTTAAATGTCTTTTCTGTTAGGGAAAGGTGTCGGGTGAATGCTTTTAAGCACAATTTTCTCAGAGTCAACGGGTGTTTTGAAGATTGTTTTGGTGTTTTGTTGTCAAGTCCGAATGCCCATTTGGAAAGAAGCGCTTTTCCCCTCTGTCGCCATTCAAACTCTTTGTGCACCTCACTTGATATTGTTTTTAGATTTCAGAGAATGACATTTAGCGACACAATTCACTTGACTTCTTGAACACAAACAATTAGGGCTAATTTGCTTTTTAGTTAGTTTTTGTTTTAGAAGAGCCGTTATGGTCGAACCATCAGAAGATCGAGAGGTTGGATTTGATTCACGAGGACGAGCTGGTTCAGCTATTGTGGCTCCAGCGAACAGTGAACAATACGACGATAATATCAAGGTGTCTTGGCTTTTATGAAATTAAAGTTCAATTATAACGAGTAGAATGAGTTTTACTTTGCGTTGATTGAAATGTAACGAAAATTTTAGAATCAAAGTTGGCGGCGGATTATGTTGTTGATTTTGGCGGTGACTGTCCACAATATTCCGGAAGGGCTCGCTGTTGGTGGGTGTTATTTTTAAAGATCATATGATCTAGTTTTTAGGTGTCGGATTTGGTTCAGTCGGGAAGAGTGAAAAGGCCACATTTGAGTCGGCTTTCAACCTAGCTTTGGGAATTGGATTGCAAAATTTTCCCGAAGGTTTAGCCGTCTCGCTACCACTTGCAGCTTTTGGTTTGTTTTATAGCTTTTGAATTAGTCACCGATTATTGTAGGTCGTTCAAAGGCTCGTGCTTTCTGGTGGGGTCAATTGTCGGGAATGGTGGAACCGTTTGCGGCACTCCTTGGGGCTGGGTTGGTCGTTCTGATGGAACCGATTCTTCCCTATGCATTGGCATTTGCTGCTGGAGCCATGATCTACGTTGTTGTACGTTTTTAATACTTGTTTGTTTCATTATTTTGATTTCTAGGTCGACGATATCATTCCGGAAGCACAGAGAAATGGCAACGCGAAATGGGCATCCGTTTTCTGCATCTTTGGATTCGTCGTCATGATGTCATTGGATGTTGGACTTGGTTAAAACCTTGACTCTCCGCTTTACGAATTCAATCTTGTAACTCTCCGTATCATGGCAGCTCTTAGGGTCTCAAACTACTTTTGTGTGATATTTTCGTGTATATTGGCTCATCCTTTGTTCTGTGGCCTAAAATAGTTGTTGCGTTTCTTGTCTGTTAATATTTTGGGAAGCCGGTGAGTTTTTTTCTTGATGAAAGTAGCCATTTTTGAAGTTAAGCCTTTCATTTCTTAAAACATTCGATTGTTCGATGATTTCTTTGTTGTGACGACGCGATTTGCCTCTTCTCACTTTTTGCATAATTATTATTTCTTGATTGTGAATCTTTATTTTCTTACTTTATGTGTGTAAAAGCTGTGATATATACGTTGACTTAATAAATCGTTTAGAAGCTTTTAGGAATTAAGTAAAGGATTACCAGTCAATATTGAAAAAAGTGGTTTCAAGTTACAAGGGTATGCTACCGTAAATACTGTAATAGTACCCCCATAATGACGGTGCGGAGTGTTGCGTAGTCTAGCTTTGAACGAGTTTTTCTCGACACTGGTTTATGCTACAATGTTCGTTTTGGTATCAAAAAATAGCCCTGAATTCCAGCTATTTTTTGATACCAAAGACGCATTTTTTGGGGTACTATTACAGTATTTACGGTATGTTATTAGCTGTTGATCTACTTGATTTGGTAGAAAATTTGCTTCTAAGCAAGAAAGGATTTATTTTGATCAAATTTTTTTCTCAAAGTGAAGTATATGAAAGTATTATATGAAAAGTTTTTCTTTAAGATGTGGACAAGTCGAGTGCTGAGGTTGCCGCGAAAACCATTCTCCGAACTCGACTACGCCCGCCATATGCCCGAGGAATACGTCAAAAATGTGCAACGTGTCGTCCCGAGAAAAGTCTGGGGAGAAAGGTGCGTTTAGTTTTTTTATTGGTTTGTCTTATTGAGAATGCTTATTGAGAATGCTTATTGAGAATGCAAAACCGACAACCTATATTCCCTACCGTAAATACTGTAATAGTACCCCACCTCTCCCTCGTACAGTCGCGTAGTCGCAAAATTTTTTTAGTATTTCATTTTTTCAAGGCGCCCGTACTTTCAAAAAATGCGTCTTTGGTATCAAAAAATAGCTGAAATTCAGGGCTATTTTTTGACATCAAAATGAACATTTTAACATAAACCAGTGTCGAGAAAAACTCGTTCAAAGCTAGACTACGCAACACTCCGCACTGTCATTATGGGGGTGGGGTACTATTACAGTATTTACGGTAAGCTTAATACTTTTTCTCGACAATTCGAATCAAGATCCTTCAAAGAAAACTTTGGCTTTATATCCGCCTTTTTCAGGTTTGGCGCTCCACCAATTGTGAGATGGATGGTCCATCCGGATGACGCAGTGCCTTCAAGCAAACGGCCTTGGGAACAAGACGAACTTCAGGCTTCGCTGAAACGACAGAATAAATATCACGAGAAGAAGTTTGTGATTAGTTCCTCCTTTTCGATCATCATTTTTTTTAGAGTATCGAGAAAATTCTTGGAACTCCGGCACTCGCAAACGAAACAAATCTCTGATCAAGATTGGACATTCTTCATGGGAGATCAAGTAGAGGTAGAAGGAAAGAATTTAAATTACAAATCGCCTCTATTCATCAATTATTCTTTTAGGTGTTGGTTGGAAAGGATAAAGGGCGGCAAGGCACCATTTCTCGTGTGAATCGAGCCACGAATGAGGTTAGTTGGCATGGCAGGGAATAGCTTTCATTTTCTAATTTTAGGTTTATGTTGACCAAATGCACGCGAAATTGGTGACAAAGTTTAGTGACGACGAACTGAAACGATTGGGAGTCTCACAAACTCTTATGTGAGCGTTCTTTAAATTAAAGGAGTCATCATAATCTAAAATCTACTGACGATTTTTGAGAATTGATTTCTTTATCTTTTTTTTTTTAGTTGGGAAGAACAACCGCTTTCCGTCGAGAAGGGACAAGTGAAACTCGTTGATCCAAACGATAACCAGCCATGTAACGCTAGGTAAACAACTTTTTATTATTTTGTTTAAATACAGTTACTGACCCCAATTAAATGCTATCCAGAAAAAACGAATTTTAGTTGGAAACTGAGTAAAGCCGGCGACGAATGGGTTCGTGTCTCGGAGCGAACCGGCTTCGAAATACCGATCCCAACTCAAGCCGAAATGACATATGATTACGCTCAAGCCGAAAAGTATATAGGCAAGTTATACAGAATGCAAAAGAATACAGAAATTAAACAGAATATGATTAAAGTCTAATCTTTTAGACGTCGAGGGTAAAGACACGCCCGCTGATGAGGTTCTCCGTATCACATTCAAACCAAAATTGATGGCTTTTGAAGAAGAAATAATGGAATCATTTGGAATCAAGGTACATCGTTTTTACTTTTCAGTTTTGGTAGATGCCAAAATTTAGGAGAATCGACAAAGAAAGCCGACCTATTGGTACTAAAGATTTTGCGTCAACGGGATCTCAAGAATTTGTTGTTTGTCATTTTTTGTTGAATTTTTGATTGAAAATATTTTTTAGTTTAGTTAGGGTTTAGTTTGTCGGAATGAAAGATTTTTTGTCTTGTGCGTTTTTGATAAAATTTATTTAAAAACAGTAACAAGAACAACTAACAGGACAGACTAACAAGAAAAACGTACAGAGTCGTAATGAACTTTTATTCCTCATTTTCCTCCTCCATGTTTGTGTCTCCACCAAGATCCAAATCATCAAGCATTTCCGCAAGAGTTGGGCCGTCGACTACCTCATTAGCACCTTCTTCATCCGTATCCACCGGCTAAATAAATTTTTTAGTCAGCTAGATCACTCAAAGTAGTTTCTTCACTTACCATGGCTAATCTCTCCCGATCCTTATAGATGTTCAACTTCTCTCTCATGAAAGGATCCTCTTCAATATCTTCCATAAATCTAAAATCAAAATACATCTCATTGAAAAATCAAAATACAAGATTCCCAAAAAATTACCCTTGGAATTCATCGGCAACAGAAGCCGTCTCATGGCCAACAATGTTTCCATCAATAACAAGACGCTTGAGTTTCCATTTTCTCTTGGCAGCACGGCGTTGACGATCAAAGACCTAAGCCACACATAAGAAATGAAGATTTGTGTCAACGCCAACCTTTTTTAACAATGATCACATCTGGAATCTCATCACTTTTCATTGAATCCAAAACATCGTTGTTAACGTTGCAATTTCTAATATCGAATCCTGAAACACATGCTAGCTTTGGTATATAACGGGTATTTTTTAACCTTGAACAAGGTCTCCGGGGCTTAGAAGTCTTCCAAGATGAGTACGTGAAGAGAGCGTTTCAGCGCCATCTTTGCCAACCTCGTTCGAGCGTTGTAGCCAAACATCAGCAAGTTCGTGTCTAAATACAACTTTTAACGTTAATTTCTATTTATAAGCAGAGCAAACCATGTTGCACAATACTAACTTCTTGCTCACATATCCATGTCCTGGCTTACGTTCCACCTCAGTTGGCTCTACATCCATCACGTAAAACTCTGTAAGCATTTTTGGACTGCACAGAGACTCAAATGGTTCCCTCCAAAAAGCTGTCCTAAATAAAAGTATAAATCGTTTTTTATTATTTGCAATTACGAATTGACGTCCGCCATTTGAAGGTTGCTAGGATCAAGAAGCGTCAAAACATTAGAAACGCGAAGACAGAGAACGATCTAAAAACAATCCCATTAATCTTCAAACTAGGAAAAAAATTTACCTGATTCATATTTCCCAATTGTTGAGCTACCTTTTTCGGCAAGCAAACAACATTGTCCCTATAAGAAAAAATGCTAGAAAAAATAAATTCTGACAAACCTGCAAATAGGTACGATTTCCACACAAAACGTATGTCGGTAGTCATAGGTGTTATTTTTTGTATCATGCGAGACCAATTCCTAAAATAACAATAACAATGTTTGGAAAAAGCTGGTATACCTGGGCGTAGTGATATTTAACCGGCAGGATCACATTCAAAAAATCCACAAAGCGACGCGCATCTTGTAGTTGTGGGAAAAAGAAATCGATTCCTTAACAAAAAGTTTCCATATAATTCTTCTGCACTATTTACCTGTAGGAACCGGTTTTACACCAGTACAATTTTGATGAGCAGTGTGTTTGAGAATAAGCTGCTCCAAATAAAACAAGGTTTTCTTGAAGTCGGCCTTCTGACGGACTTGAACACAAGCTCTCCAAAAATCTTTTGCTTCGGCACGTCTGCAATCGTCACACATCTAAACAAACGTTCGATCAAAATTTTCACAACACAACAAACCTGATTGTGCTGAGTAAATTCGCAAATCATGTCTTGTTGTAAGATGGTAGATGTGAAGACCTCCTTTTGAATTGTCAATTTGACCTTGATTCGTTTCGAGTGAGCTTCAGTCCACACAAAGACTGCATCAATCAACCGAACCTAAAAATAAAATTGATTATACAGAAGGCACAAATAAATCCAACCTTATTCATTTTTGGTTTCAACTTTTTGAGACAGATCGAAAGCAGTTCTTTCGATTCAAGTTCAGCTCGATTCCAACCGGCTGGTGGCACAAGGTAGCGGTTGCAGAATTTGCAGATGTAAAGTGTCTCTGAAAGAAAGGAATTGGTTTCCGGTTTTAAAGTCATATAAACATTAACAAAAGAAAAGATAATACCTGTCCTTGGAATCCCCTCGGTGATGTCAACATGGCTTCGAATACATTGTGAGCACATATTTGCTTGATTGGGTTGAATCGGAAGACCGCATACACAGCAAGCGATCATCCCCACGGATGAGGTGGGCGCAAAGTGCTCCATCCTGGAAAAAAATAGATTAGTTACAGATCAATAACAAAGTGGAAATCGATGGAAAACCAAAATTCAGTAAGGTTTGAAACGCAGTAAACTAAAACTAAAACTGAAACAACTAAAAGATGTTTAGATGATGTTTGTTTCAATGGTTTTCTTTTAGGTGTTTGC